ACAGTATATATTATATAATATATTATATAATATGTAATATACAGTATATATTATATAATATATAATATATCATAATATATTATATATAATGTGTATATATAATGTAATATATATTATATATATAATGTGTATATACATATATATATATATAATGTGTATACATTAACATTTTGCTGGTTAAATATGCTACAACAGTTTTATCCACTCCCAGTACACATACTTTACAAAAGTAAAACTCACAAACCAACAACTAAAAAAATCCCATGTTATGAAGAGGAGGTAAGGTTCTTGGGCTTGGATCTGATAGCTGAACCATGGGATCCTACAGACATTTCTCTATAAAAGTGTCACTTCTGTGTAGAAGTAATGGATTGAGGAGATGGTGGTTCACTTCTAGTCTGAGTGGTTTATTTTTCTTCCAAGTTCCGGCCAACAGGAACTGCTGTGCTGTGCAATCCCATGCATAAACCCGGGTTCAGTTGGGTCTCTATTGGCCAGGAGTTCCCCATTCAGCTCTGCTTATAATTATCAGTGGCAGTACTATTTAGAAAGAAGATTAACAGGTTTTAAAATGCTTTCCCACCCATTATCTTATTTGACCCTGATAACACCCTTGAGAAAGACGTGGCTTGTGCTATTATCTCCACTTTGATGATGAGGAAATTGGCTTCAAGATAAATGACTTATGCTGACAAATAGTGGGAAGAGTTTTGACTAGAAGCTATGTCTCCTGCCTTGGAATTCTGGACTCTTTCTACATTATCCCTTCAAAGCCTGACTCAAATTCCACCAGGAAGCTTTCATGGCCTATAGAATTCCTTCTCATCTCTGAAGAGTTCTAATTATTATTTTCTATTTTACTCACTAGACAATGACCACGAATGACCTGAATTGTCATCAGTCTAGATGTATGTGCCTTGTTCCACTGCACTGCCTATATGCTGCTCTTGAGGCAGGAACAAGGTCATCTATCACCTGGTTCCTTCGCAGATCTCACACCTGCCTTTCCTGCAGTTTGTGCCCAGTAAACCCTGGATGGAACTTGGCTATGTCTGTTGGCAACATTTAAAGAGCCAATGCCAACTACCAAGACTAAAACAAATGTGCCCTGGTCCCATAGAGTATAGGACAAATTTCTGCCAACAAAGTTATTGAACACTGAGTCATTAATTTCCAAGTGCATTACATCAGTTGCCATATAGGCAGAGGATTTACTTTGTTGGAGTAGGAATTACATCTTATAGTCCTGTATTTGCATTCTCCAGAGCATATTTTCACACATCAGGAACTTATCATAAAAGAGTGTCTGTAAATGATTTAAACATCAAATAAGTCCTCTATTGAAATTTTCTGTAATAAAAGGCTACTTTTTTTCAGAAAATTGGGCAGAGAAGTCAAGACTTGGGTTCTAATCTTGGCTCCTCTTGTTAACAGTAGGCAAGCAAGTTAACTTCTCAAAGCTTTGGTTTTCCCAACTGCAAAATTAAAGCCCAAATTCTGTCTCATGGTGAACAAATGAAAATAAAAATGCAAAAATATTCTTTGACACATCAAGAAATGTCTAGAATTTACTAGATGAATAAGAGTCAAGTGATATTTTGTTGTCTGTGCATTTAAGCAAGTTAAACGGTGGGAATCAGGTTTTCTATTGTAAAACAAGGGAGTTCGTTTAGATTATTTTTAAAGGCTCTTTGAGGGCTAAAGAATTATGATTCTGCAATGCCAGCTTCAACTGTCAAGAACTCCTAATATTTCCCTTTTTCTTTTCCTATACATAAAGCTAAATAAATAATCTAATTCACAAAGGGAGCCTCCTATTTAGAATAACTTAATTACTAATCCTTTTGATAGGATTATCTATCCTGATATAAATAATTGTCCTGATTTATGTGTTTTCATTTTCTGTTTTTGTCATTTCAGGAAGGAGGTCTTTCAATACTTTTACTAAATTATCTTGATCTACAGGCCTTGCTCACAGTGTCTCTCATTCATCAGACCATTTCTATAGGGAGAGGCTGGGTGTTGTCAGTAGCCAAATGGGCATTTCATCTCCATTTGACAGATTTCCCATGTGAAAGTGAAGAAGTTCCCCATGGTAACATGCATTCTGTAAATTGATGTCTTGCTGGAGAAAAAGATGTCTCCTTTTGAGTAGCTTCTGTAAATGGATCCTTGTGTAATGTCAGCTTGAAATTCGTCGGCTGTAGACCTGGGAGGTTGGAGGAAAGGAAGTTATACAATGGATGAAAATAAAGGCTTAGACTTGGATGCGGTAGAGAGAGTAAGGGTCCTCTGGAGCCAAAAGTGATAAGTACAAGGAGAGAGAAATGACAGCAATTCCGGGAATCTTAACTATATCAAATATACATTCATTATGATGAACTTGTTCATATACTTTATTTCATGTATCTTCATAGTGTCCTGTATATTGAGTTCAAAGAGATTAAATGAATTTTTGAGGTCACACAACTGATAGGAAGAGTAAGGATTTTCACCCATCTCTAATACCAGAGCTAGTACTCTTTTCCTTTTCTTATTCATAACCCACTTTCCTATACTGCACCCATTTGCAGTCAGCTGTGATATGAGTGCGGGATGACTTCATTAAAAAATAGAAACATGTGGGAGGGATTGAGCAAAAAATGGAAAAGCACTCATGGATATAGACAACCGATTGTGGTGTGGGGAAGGGAGTATAAGGGGACTAATCATAATGGGAAAAAATACAATACAAAATCAAAAGAAGAAAATAGAAATATGTGGGCATTAAGCCTTTAGCTCTTAGAACATACACATACTTTTCTGCCTGAACTAAAAGAGGCAGAAAGAAACAGACCTGGGAAAACACCTTACTATGTAATGTCACAATTATAATATGCAAACTATAGGCTTTAATTTCTTGTAGGGGCCTAACAGTTTAGTGGTGAGGCAAGTTCTTAATTTGAGATGAAAACAGAAAGAGATTGAGAAGGAAAGAAAGAGAAAGAGAAGTAGGAAAAGGGGGGAAAGGAAATAGAAAAGGAGGAGCAGGAAGCGGGGAGGGAAGTTGGTTATATCAACCAAATAAGAAAAGAAATTGAGCTAAAACTAGGATACACTCAATGCTTGGATAGCTGCTTCCCAAATCTCCAAATTGGGGCACCTTGAGCATTGTAACGTCTGTGGGTCACTGAGAAGGACACCTATGTGAAGTGGATCCTGGCCTTCAAAGGGTGTTCCTCTATGTGTGTTGCTGGATGGGCCCCATTGCTAAAGGGGAGGGGCAGGAAAATTGATGAGGCAGGTCTAGGTTTTCACCACCTGGGATCCAGAAGAAGCTGATCTCTCAGGAGATGGTGGCCACATGCCAGAGAAAGCTTCTTCTATAGGTCAGCCTCATGTTCCAAAGTTCTTTGCTCCTCTCTTCACAAGACTTACGATCAACCTTTCCCAGGCAGAGGCTGCCCTGTGCATAGTGGAATTTGATCTTCACAAAACTAAATTCTGTGATTTAGCCCACCAGGATTTCTAGTTTTCATATTTAAAATAAATATTCTTTTTTGTGTGTGACCTCTAAATCATGAAATATGGGGTGATTTAGACCAATTGTAGCTATGAATACCAGCAAGCGGTTGATATGTGAGAAGTTATATTAATCTCCACTCCCTTCCCATGTACTCGCATTCACTCACACCCTCTAGCACATGAAACAAGACCTGATGGTGGACTTGGACCGTGCGTCGCCATGCCATTCCTATCTTAAGAAGTCAGTTTCCACAGGCTTTTTTATTCTTGGAGCATATAATTACAGAACATCAAAGAGCAATAGGGATCTAGAGGTGAACTGAATTATGTAAAAAACAGAGGCAAAGAGGGCACAGAGGGCTATTATGTGGATTCACACTAGATTCACCAAACTCAAGGGTGCTGAGAAATGCAAGCATTTAATAAGACAAATATCCTCTTTCATAGCCCTTAGCAAGAAATGCTTTTTTTTTCCCTCCAAACCCTATGCAAGTATTGTAATTATGTTAGAATAAGGCTAAAAGCATAGAATAGAGTGCAGGCTCTTTTTTAGAAAAGGCATGTTTATGCAGTTTAAAGTTTAAACAACTTATCTGTTAAAACTGTTACATACACAAAGTGTTTTATTATATTCTAATGAGTTTGTCCCAATCCTTTACTGGAAGGTGATGGAGAATACAATGAGGCACAACTGATAAGTGAGTGGCATGTGAGTGGGGACAGAAGATGGGGGCTTGGAAGGATTTAAAGACTTTTTAAAGTTTATTTTTAGTGAGGGGAGGGGAGAGAGAAAGAGAAGGAGAGCAACACGGATACAAGAGAAACATTGATTGGTTGCCTATCATACATGCCCCAGTCAAGGACAGAACCCACAACCCAGACACATGCTGTGATCAGGAATCTAACTGGTGACCTTTTGCTTTACGGGACAACACCCAACCCACTGAGCCACCCCTGTCAGGGCTGGAGCTTGGAAGGATTTAATACTGGGTCACCTGACTCTTGGTTCAGTGCTCTGTTCCTTACATTACAATCTTCTGTAAGACATTATTAACAGTGTTGAAACATTTCGTCAGTATTAGAAACTTTACTTTCAAATCCATGAGCCAAAGAAACCAAAAGCATCACCCTGTGCATTCCAATTGATAAATATTATATGAAGAAGATGTGATCCTGACACCAAATTTTAACAATGAGTGGACATTTCTTCCCATGAAAAATAAGGAGGGGAAATTCAGTGAATTCTGTTTATGTTTTCAACTTTTGCTTTGAGCCACGTCAAGAAACAAATGCAAGAAGAATGCAAATGTCCAAAACTGTTATTCACCAAAAACAAGATTATCTTCCTGAGCAAGACATTTCAAAGTGCTACTTTTACAACTTCTCCTAATAGCAAAAGGAACTACTGTTTTTGAAGAAGAAGAAACTGAAAACTGCCAAACCTCAAAAGTCATGGAAGCATCTGGGTCTGAGAGGCTTACCCCTCAGTTACTCCTTTACTTCCTTCTCACGTCTGAAGACTGGAGATAAAGTTTGTTGAGTATTTTCCAGAGAGCATTTTTCACTTCTTTGTTCCCCAGGCTGTAGATCAAGGGGTTCAGCATGGGAATCACCACAGTGTAGAACACAGATGCTATTTTGTCCGTGTCCGTGGACTCGGTGGAGCCAGGATGTAAGTACAGGAAGATGACCGAGCCGTAGAAGACGGACACTGCCGTGAGATGGGATGCACAGGTGGAGAAGGCTTTCTTCCATCCTTCAGCAGAACGCATCCTTTGACTTGTGATATATATGAAGAGATAAGAGATGAGGATGACCAGGAGGGTGAAAAAGACACTGAAGCCAACAACACAGAAGACAACCAACTTGCTGATACGCGCGTTGGAGCATGAGAGAGCCAGGAGTGGGGGAATGTCACAGAAAAAATGATTAATCTCATTAGAACCACAGAAGGAGAGTCTGAAGGTGTCTGCTGTGTGGATGGAAGCAATGAGGAAGCCGCAGACATAGGAGCCGATCATCAGGAGGACACACGCGCCTGTCGTCATGGTGCTCGTGTAATGAAGAGGCCTACAGATGGCCGCATGGCGGTCGTAGGCCATGGAGGCCAGAAGGTAGCACTCGACAGTGGCAAAACCCACAAAGAAAAATAACTGAGCTGCACATCCATTGTAGGAGAGGACTTTGTTCCCTGACCGCAATGCAACCACCATCTTAGGGGCTACAGCTGATGAGTACCCGAGGCCCACAAAGGCCAGGTTGCTAAGGAGGAAGTACACTGGAGTGTGAAGGTGGGGGTCTGAGTGGATGATCACCATCATTGCCCCATTCCCAATCAGGGTGACGAGGTAGATGAACAAAAACACCAGGAGCCGGGGAACCTGAAGATTGGGGTCATCTGTTAATCCCAAGAGGATGAACTCTGTCGCCTCGGTGCTATTCTCCATTGAGGTCAGCTTGAACCCACCCTGGGGATGAAAGAAGAAAAGCCAATGAAGGTTAGAAGTATAGCAGGGATTTGGGGATGTTATTGTCAGGAAGGGGGAGAATTCCCCCTTCTACCCTTCTTCAGTTCTTAAGGCTAGACTAATAATAAAATAATGACACTGACACAAGACTGGGTCAACAGGAGAAAAACTGATTTAACACATGCATGTGGGAAAAATCACAATATCATGCAAAGATCATAAAAATGAGGCTCAAAGAAATGACCCAACTCGGCACCTTTGTATGCTTTTTTAGATAAAGAGACAATAAATTTGCAAGAAACTGATTGGACAAAGAGCTCATTAGAAAGGAATCTAAGCAAAGTTTGAACTTAGGTAGTAAATTGCTAAAGGCTACAAAGTGTGTTTATACACATTTTTCTGATTCTGACTTCGGATTTTTTTAGTATAATAAAAGTTTTTATATTTATTTGTATAAAAATAATCATGCATAAAAATCTATCATCTTTCTTGGTTATGGAGACAGACTCTCCAAGTCTTTTGTTTTCCAAAGTCTAGTCATATTTTAAAAATAGCAGGAATATTGCTCACTCAACTAGAATCTAATAAGATTGCAAGTAATCAGAACCCTAAAGTAACCAGCATTGTTAATAATGCACATATTAGGAAAGATAAATGATTAGTAAATAATAAGTTATTCTTTTAAGAATGCCTTCTTATATCAACACTGACATTAATTTAGATCATTCTTCTACGTTTTAAATAATCAGTATCACTAAAATGGGACAACGGGACAAGCCCCAGATGAGAAGCCAGAGTACCTATGTTGAAAGTTCAGCTGAACTTCACAGAGCCTTTATACATGAATCTGCGCTCTGGGTTTTTTAACTGTTGTGATGAAGTTGTTTCTCACCCTCGGGGGCAGGGAGGGCGCCTATCACGCTTTTCATGAGACAGAGGAGAGTCAGAGAATTCCTCTTGCTCTTGCTGCTTCTCAAATCACTTTTGTTTGAAATAATCAATATGCCATTGTGGGATACCTTGGGGCATCCTGCGCTGGGCCCTGGCAACATAGAAATAGGAAACTAATATATATTGAGAATGTACTTTGTGTAAGGCACATGCCTGACCTTTCCATTATATAATAACATTTAATCCGGCGAGGTAGATGCTAGTATGCCTATCTTATAGATGAGAAAATCAAGGCTTGGAGAGCTTAATATTGACCAAAATAACCTAATTAGTAGAGGTCAGAATCAAAGTTCACACCTTTGGAATCCAAAGCTCATGCACCCAGAGCTTGAATTTTTCTACTTGTCCACAACATATAAAACAAATTATGATATGTCTGCCAGCATAGTTTTTAAGATTTTATTTATTCAATATTTAAAAATTAAAAAAAGAACAGCATAAAGTAAAACATATAAATCCCTCATTCCTTGTCTTCTCATTTCACTCCCAAGAATATAACCTCTATGGAGATTTCCTGACATTTTTCTGTGCACATATAATTATATGGTATTAATCATAATAATAGCTCACTATACCCCAGGCACGGCTCTGAGGGCTTTACTTGTGGTTAACTCATTTAATTCTCACACCAACTCATTGGTTTTGTTCTATTATTTTCCTCATTTTACACAAGGAATAATTGTACAGATGAAAACATTTCACTCGCTCGTTTGCAATTTGTCACGTCCATAAACAATGCCCCATAGTATAAAATATGCAAACAGAGCGTTTTCCTTTTTTATTAGATTATTTGCAGCTGTCAGTCTATGTTACAATTGGTCTCCTTTTTCTGGCTGTTATCTGGTCCTAAAATGTAGTAGCTTTTATGTGAGGACTGGAGAGCTATTACTATAAAATAATAATAATAATAATAATAATGTAACTACTTCCAAAGTCACATAACTAGTAAGTGTTGGAGGTGGAATTAAAACCTTAGTCTGTCTGACATTAAATCCAGAGCTCTGAACTACATCATTTAATGCCTTTGTGAGTTTATCTTTCAATAGTGATTTAATTGAAATTCATATTTATATATTTCCATGGAGATAGATATATCTCTGCCTCCTGTTAGAAGTCTTTGTTATTGATCCTGGTTATAATTAAATCCTCCTTTCTCTGCTTTCTCAAAGCGCTTGAGTTTTGGTTGATTAGCACACAATTTGTTGGACAGCCACCCAGCTCTGAAAGGGGTCCTAAGCCCCCTAGAGACAGACTGTTTTCATCCTTTCTGGCCACCCAGCCGGCCACGGCCCCTTGCACACATAAATAAATTTTTGGTGAACATCAATGGCAAAGGGTTGAAGCAATTTTTCTTGCTAACTCCGCAACAAACAGCTGACTGTTGTCTTGTCTAGCTGGATCCACGTTTCCTGCCAAAATATTAGCTTAGACTTGCGGTATGAAAACTATTCAGAAGTAAAGTGAGACTGAGCATGGGCAAGCCTGGAGAATGGCTGATGTCCTAATTCTAGGGCACTGTCTCTCTCCTGTTGTGTTTACAGGTTCTGTTGTCCCTGGCCACAGAGTGGATGGAAATAGGCTGAGGACAGGAAAGAGGGAAATATGTGGAGAAAGGAAAGGGAGAAACAAGAGACTACAAGGAGAAAAATTGCTTCAGCTCTGCTTGACCTTGGCTTGCCTTGGAAAGTAACTGCTGTGGTCAGATTGGTAAGGAGCTTTTTTTACACCACAAAAAAAGGGGGGTAGGGGAAGCCCAGCCTGTGCTGCCAGCACAGTGAGTACACACAAGTGTTGGCTGGCATCCTAAGAACTGGCTCAGCCAGCTTGCGAACCACACTGCTGGTCAGGAACCAAGATGATACTCCACGACACGTTCCCAACGTTTCACCTTAAAAACAATGCTCCAGTGAATACCCTGGGACAAGTTTTCTCACACCTCTTTCTTTTTCCTTAGGATAAACTCCTAGAATTGTATATTCTTTATTTGCTTTTTGCTTATTGGTATTTTTCCATCCACTAATGTACCAAGTAACTTTCCAACCTGCCAGACTTTCTGTTAGATTTATCCAGTCCTTTTGGTATTTTTTTCTTTTGACTTTTGGCATGTGCGTTACTCTCTAATTCAACAAACACGGTCTCCTCTCATTTGTGACAAGCAGTTTCCTGATCTGACCTGTTAGGTAACTGAGGTATGTGGTGCCCTTCAAGGTTGCACAATTACTTAACTGTAATATCTGCTCAATGCTACAGAGCAGAACTTTTCAACCTTGGCTCTATTGACATTACAGCTGGACAGTCCTTTGGCTGGAGGCAGAGGGAGGGACAGGGGAGGCTGTCACATGCATTGTAGGGTGTTTAGCTGTATCTCTGGCCTCATTCCACTAGATACCAGTTAGACCTCCCTTCCCCAGTTGTGACAACCAGCATTTTCTACAGACACTAGCAAATGTTCCCTGGGGCAGGGATGGGCAACAGCAACAACAGTGTCCCGGGTGGAGAACCACTCTTCTAGAGTTTATAAAACTCTGTTTTCACTTCTTTGTGTAATCACAGCAATTTCATGAGTTACATATATTGTATAATATATTTTACAGCACACATATATTATTTTATACCTATGTGAGATAATGTGGCGGATTCAAGGTCTAGCGTGCCAGCCACATGTTGCTGCTCATTGGTGGGGGAGTCCAAGGAGGGGAAACTAGCTGCCAACTACTGTGGTTCTTCAACGAAAGAGGTATTCACCCTCCTACCTCATAAACCAGCCTCTTCTCCAACACAAGGTGGAACACATGACCTGGCAAATCTCCAAGGATGAAAGTCGTGGTTTCCGAATTCTATTCCAAAACATCTTCTCAAATGCTTGTTCAATCCATGTCCTTGGTTGATACTGATCACCCGATTATATTCACCTGAGCTGTAGGTCTGATTTCCAGCAGTTCTCACACACTCCCTACGTTGAACTGCCCCAGACCGGCCTCTTCATACATCAGCAATGAACATTCAAGGCAGTGCCTACGCCCTCTTGATGGACAACCCTTTGCATCATCCATTGCAGTCACTGTTAACAAATGCATCTGGATCCAGAGCAGCAAAGAGAAATCGGGGATCGCGCAGAGAGAGGAGAGGCTTCTTTTGCTCAGCACCATCCCTGAAGGGTTGCAAGGGCCCAGCCCAAATCTCATGGCTTCTGTTGCTGGTGTATTTCCTCCCACCCACATCCTGCCAAGACCAAGCTTAGTTGCCCAGGCTGAAAATAAATATCACAAGGAGCCTTGACAGAGCAAAGACATTTTTTAAATATTTAAAGATGATACATGTTAGAATGCTTCATTTAAGAACAAATGAGAAACTGTTGAAAACTGAAAACATTAAAGCGTAGGGGATTATAGAAGTCCAAGCCACCAAGATACATAGAATGGAAACAAAAGTTTTATCAGAATCATTTCTAAAGGGATTTGAAGAATTACCCCCCATCCCCCATCCCCAGCCATCACATCTTGTTTGGGGAGTTGCAAAGGAGATTCTCAATAGAAAACTATTAGACTAAATTCCATGAAGAAAGAGGCAAGATCTGTGACTGTTTTGTGAATCAGTATTCACAGCCTAGACTAGTGCAAGGCACATAGTAGGCTTTTAAATATTTGTTAAATGAATGAATGGACTAGAAGCTCAACAGTTGAGTTAGAATAATGACTTGATGTTTATTAGCTGTGGGACTGTAAGAAAGTCAATTAAGTCAATTTCTTTCCATCAATAGAGGATTAATAAGATCAAATATGAAAAAGAAATCAAGCCACTGTGTGGCTGATGGAGAGTACTCAATACCAACTAATTTATTTATCTTACTATTAAACTGTTGATTGATTTTACGAACTTGGTTCCTGGACCGTGTTAACACCCGTTGGTAGCAACATTCTATCTAGCAATGACTATAGACCTTTCTGTTTAAGAAAACGTGACCCAAAATGACCTATGGGAGGCTCACTCTATCTCAATTTTTTATGAGATGTGGCAGAGGAGAGTGGGGA